TTAATCAGGAGGGACCAGTCCCTTGAGAAAGATACCATGTTTGGTAAAGTGGACGGTGGGAGAAAAAGAGGAAGACCCCCAACGAGATGGGTTGGTACAGTGACAGCAGCAGTGGGCTCAGGTGTAGCAACAATTGTGAGGTTGGTGTAGGACCATTAGAGTTTCATTCTGTTGTCATAGGGTTGTTATGAGTTGGTACCAACTTGATGGCACCTAACAACTCCAACCCTTTCCCAAAGAATTATTTCCTCTTTGATTTACACTACGTCATAACAGCTGTTTTGAAATTCTGGAGGTACTCAAATTGTATAATTTGTCAATGTTCTTTTAAACCTGGGGAAGAAAAAAGTCTAAAGGGGCAAGATCAAAGTTGTAGAATGGATAGAGTAAAGCATTTCAGTGAAATTCATATAGGACAGCCCTTGCTACTCTTCAAGAATGAGTCATAACATTATGTGGAAAAAAATTCTTGGGCACAAATTGCCTGGCCTTTTTCTCACCAATACATTTTTCTAATTTCATAAAACTTCTTCACAGTAAGTCCCATAATCTCCCTGTGTCCTTCAAAAAAAAAAATCTATCAAGGTTACTCCTTTGGACTCCTGAGCCTGTGGACAAAGACCTAACCATGGAGGGCTAGAACTGTGAGTGAAGTATCTAGCTGATATGAAGTGATGGGAGACATACAAGAACGCTCAAACGTGCAGATAGTACCCATTTGACCTAGCTTCGATGACTTGATGATCAGAACTCAACTAGAGGAAGATAAAGGAATTTGATAAGGGAAGCAAGTACAAATTGCTACAATTTGATGAACTTGACCTATACTTATGAATGTAATAGCTCAAAATACCAACCGAGAGAGGAATTGTCACATCAAGGATCCTCTCTCTACACAGGGTTGATAGGGATGGGCAACTTAGGTATTTGTTGTTGTTGTTACATGCCATCAAGTCAATTCTGACCCATAGCGACCCTGTATAGGGTTTCCAAGGAGCAGCTGGTGAGCTTGAACCACCAACCTTGCAGCTCAAACTACTTTGTAGCCTGATGCATTAGCCCACAGTGCCACACCAGGATTCCAACTTAGGCATTGGCTACCTAAAATATGTTGTTGTTATGTGCCATGGATTTGGTTCTGACTCATAGCAACCCTGTACAGGGTTTCCGAGGCTGTAAATTTTTACAGGACCAGAAAGCCACATCTTTCTCCTGAGGAACAGCTAGTAGTTTCAAACTGCTGACCCTGAGGTTAGCAGCCTGATTTGCAACCACTACGCTACCTAAAATATATGGTGTTATAAAGGCACAAAGTGGCTGGCTTATAAGGTTTCAAGAAGGAGTTTAGTTTCAGAGTGTGTGGGGGAAGGTAGAATCCTCACTGAATAGTTTTCATCTTGTCTAGATGGGTGGGTGAAAGGAGATGGGGATTGGATTTGTTAATTCAATAGTGAGTAGTTGTTATCATACCTAATTGTGATTGTCACAACTGTAAGATAAAGGTTGTGTAACAAAAAGAGGGGATTAGTTATCTTGCATTCCAGGAACAGAGGACCATAGGACCATCAAGAGAGAAGAGCATGAGCTGAATGTGGGCTCCTAACCAGAGAAGCAGCAACAACAGAGATGGAGTCAGAGATGATAGCATGGAGAAATTGAGCAGCTGAGGACTCTAGACTCATGGAAAGAGAAAGGCTGTGTGCTGGCAGCTAGGAGACTGACTTCCAGAATGTGCCCTTTGGTTGTTTAAACAATCATGTATCCCTGTGTGGTTTTTGTTTGTTTGTTTTGTTTTTGTACATCAAAGGAAAAAAAAAATTAAAATAATCAAACAAAAAAGATTACCCCTTTGTTTTGTTTAAAAACAAAACAAAAGACAGTCACTATAACCTTTTGAGCCGACCTCTCTGCCTTAAATCTAACTGGCCTAGCAGATCCCCTCAGAAGCCATTGTTTTCATTGAACATTTTTTTAGGCACCCTAACTTGATTAAGACAAGGATAATGCTCTGGACTGCAACATCAGTTGAATCTTGTGGTTCAAATTTACCAACCTCTCCTCAAAAACCCTTTAGAGGATCATTATGAGTTGGAATTGATTTGACAGCACTTACCAACAACAACATTACTGAGAGAATTTGTCTGTAGCCATCCGCTGATCACAGAGACATGTTTAAACTCATTTTGGTTAGATTAATCCAGTGCACGTATGTCCTGAAATCCTAGTAGCAATACTTTTTGACTTTGCCTTGTATCTTCTCCAAGCTTGAGAAGAGGCTTAAAATCAGTTGTTGTCACGTTGACCCTGATTTATAATGACCCCATCATGTGTATAGGAGTAGAACTACACTGATTTTTCGGGATTAAATCCTCTCGCCTTTCTTCTGAGAACCACTGGAGTGGATCCACACTTCCAACATTTTGGTTAGGAACTATGCTTGTCAACCATTTTCACTTCCCAGGGACTGAGAAGAGGAAAGGGATATAAAAGCAAAGGGCATGCTTTTGACATGATCATCAGGATCATCAGGGTGGGAGCCCCCATTTATAAAGAATCTACAGCATCATCAAGTATTATTTCATTTAATGCTTCTGGTCTAGGAAGTAGGTGCTGGTGGGACATCTGAGGTTCAATGAGTGTAAATGATTAGTCCGAGGTCACACAGCTAGGAAGTGAAAACACTGGGTCTGACCAGTCTCCCTTGCTTTAAAGCATGACAGTTCATGATGGTGGCTAGACGGGATTTCTTTAATTCCTCTCCAAGGAGTTGGGATTTGACAATGTGCAGTGGGAGGCTGTTGAAGAGCTGAAAAACTCTTCAAATTTCCAACTCAAAAGACCCAACTTGCTTTCTTTTTTGATTTCCCCATAAAATTTGTAACTAGCTTTCCACCAGTTATAGAATATGTGGCTGAGAAGAGAGAAAGATTTGTAGTGGCACAGGGTAGGATAAGGAGAGGAAGGGAAGAAAAAAACACTGATGATAGAAGCAAAAATAAGAAAGATTAGGAAAATAAAATAACTGTGGCAAGATGCAGCAGAACACCCCAAGGAACTCCTAGAAGATGCACAGACCCAAGGCTCCTTTAGCATTACCTTAGACCCACATCCCCTCAAACCTAGAGTGAATCCAGGGGAACAATTGAGCCATCATCTAGCATAACTTATTTTAACTCCTGGCTTGAAGCCAGGCTTATACTTGCTGTGTGTACTCACAGTGCAGTGAAAATGCTCTGCATCCGGGGTAACAAAGCAACTGTTAATGGGAGTAATTAAGAGCCTTGGGAGTGATTTATACCTTTTGCTACTGTTCAAGTTGAAGTTACCAAAGACAACAATTATTAGTAACACAGGTGATCATTAACTCATGCAGGGAAAGTTATGAAATCTAGCTCCAGTTCTTGCTTCCATTGGCCTAGAGTTCACAGAAATAGAAGCTAGTATGAGTCACAGTCAAGAGAAGTGGGAGACAGAGACCAGTGGGCTGGCTCAGTTTGGGAAATATTAAAATTTTTAGCATCCTTAATGAAGACAAAGAATTGACAAAATGCTGAGAAGGAGAGGCTAACAGCACTTTAGTGTTGGTTTCCCTGAGAAGCACTTAATTTTATTGGCTAAATTTTCAAATAAAATCTTTAAAAGCTTGTTTCTATTAGTACTAAAATTGTAATTAGAAAGAGAACCATTGTGTAAGTCAATATCAATGGCTGGTTGGCGATGTAAATTATGCTGTTTTTGTTAAGTGCCGTTAAGTAGGCTCCAACTCATAGCAACCCTATATACAGTTTCCAAAGAGCAGCTGGTGAGCTTGAACTGCCCACCTTGTGGTTCAAACCAACTTTGCAGTCCAGAACATTAACCCACAGCACCACAACAGGACTCAGATGTAGGTGAAGGGAACCCCAAATAAGGCCAAATCTTAAGCTTATCTTTGGGCTGTCAACTAATGCCAAGGAGGGAAAGGGTATATATGGTACGTGCGGGAAAAATTGTTGCTCTTTTTAAAAGAATAACTCAGGGCATGTTTAGATAAACACACCTCCCTTGTTCCCTGATCTAGGCCTGCGCTCTTATATAGGAGGGATATCTGACTTGCTCTATGCGTTTGTCTGGCATAGCTCTCTGCTGCTATGGTTTCTGGCTAACTGGACCTGCAGCTTCCAATATAACTCCAAAACAATCCTATTGGGATTGGCAAATTGCCTCAAGCTCCCCTTTCACTTCCTCTCTTTTTAATGATAGATAATTTATATACCATAAGATACACCACCTTAAAGTATATATTCAATGAGATATCCATTTGCAGAAAAATGAAACAAGATCCATACCTCACTCCATATACAAAAACTAATTTCAAGATGGATCAAAGATTTAAATGTAAAACCTAAAATACAAAGATCATCCAAGAAAAAATAGGAGCAAATTTAGCAACCTTGTCCTGGTGTGGTGCTGTGGGTTAACGCACCAGACTGCAAAGCCATTTGAACTGCAAGGTTGGCAGTTCAAGCTCACCAGCTGCTCCTTGGAAACCCTATACAGGGTTGCTATGGGTCAGAATCGACTCAACGGCACTTGACAACAACAACAATCTATGGCATGGAGTCCTGGTGTGGCGCTGTGGGTTAATGCACTAGACTGCAAAGTCGGTTTGAATTGCAAGGTTGACAGTTCAAGCTTACCAGCTGCTCCCTGGAAACCCTATAAAGGGTTGCTATGGGTCAGAACCAACTTGACGGCCCAACAATAATTTATGTCATAAACAGATTATTAAATGTAATCCCAAATGAACAAAAAGCAGAAGACAAAGCAGGCGACTTTCTAAAAATGAAAAACCTATGCACATCAAAAGACTTCTCCAAAAGAATAAAAAGAGAATCTACAGATAGGGAAAAAATATTTAGAAATGACATATCCAAGAGATTAATTTCTAAAATTTATAGAAATTTTCAACTCCTCGACAACAACAAAAATCCAATTTAAAAGTGTACAGAGAGCTCTCTGGGCTTGGCACTGGGTGGCGACGAGATGGCTAAACGCACCAAGAAGGTCGGAATCGTGGGTAAATATGGGACCCGTTATGGTGCCTCCCTCAGGAAAATGGTGAAGAAAATTGAAATCAGCCAGCATGCCAAGTACACTTGCTCCTTCTGTGGCAAAACCAAGATGAAGAGACGAGCTGTGGGAATCTGGCACTGTGGTTCCTGTATGAAAACGGTGGCTGGGGGTGCCTGGACCTACAACACCACCTCCGCAGTTACAGTAAAGTCTGCCATCAGAAGACTGAAGGAACTGAAAGACCAGTAGAAACTCCACCACCTGAACCTGTCTAGCCTGTAATAAATGGGTTAATTTATATAACAACAACAAAAAAAAAAAGTGTGCAGAGAACATAACCATAAACTTCACCAAAGAAAACATTCAGGTAACTAACTAACAAACACACAAAGAAAAGTTTGTGATCATTAGCCATTAACCCAATGCCACTGGGTCAATTTCAACTCATAGCAACCTTGTATGTTGTTGTTGTTGTTGTTGGGTGCCATTGAGTTCATACAGACTCATAGTGACCCTATGCAGAGCAAAATGAAACACTGCCCAGTCCTGAGCCAACATCAAAATTGTTGCCACACTTGAGCCCATTGATGCTGCCACTTTGCCAAGGGGTCTTGTCTATGGTTTCTGAAATTGTAAATCTTGCAACAGTCTTATCTTTCCCACAGACCTTACTGTTAGCAGGCCAAGAGAGACACAAGTCAAAACAATGAGATAGCTCTTTATCTCAGCAATAGTAGCAAAGTTCAAAAAGACAGAAAACGACAAATGCTGACAAGAGTGTAATGAAATTGGAACTCTCATGCACTGCAGGTTGGACTGCAAACTGGTGCAACCACTGTAGAAAATGGTATGGTGCTTCATTAAAAAGTTGGAAATGGAAATACTATATGATCCAGCTATCCCACCCTTAACTTAGGTAGATATAATAAAGACATAAAAGCCGGCACATGAACAGATAAGTGTACACCAATTTCACAATAGCAATGCGATGAAAACAATGTAAGTGCCCATCAACAGATTAATGGAAAAACAAACTATGGTATATATACAAATGGAATACTATTCAATGTTAAAGAATAACAAAGATTCTGAGAAATACCTCAAAACATGGATGAATCTGGAGGACATTATGCTGACTGAAATAGGTAGATTGTAAAAGGACAAAATTGTACAAGTTTGTTGTTACTTTAAGTCAGGGAAAGATTTTCACACAGGGAAACACTTTTTTTTTATGATTACCAGGGAAGTATAATTCTGTAATTTTATTTATTTATTTATTTATTTTAGTACAGTCACAAGGCTATACAACTATCACCATTATCTAATCTAAAATATTTCGTCACCCCCACAGAAGAATCTGACTCTAGGGATTTACCTTTTCTGGACATGTCACATAAATGGAATCACACAATATGCAGTCTTTTGGGCCTGCCTTCATACCATAACATCTTCAAGGCTCATCCATTTTATAGCATGGATCATATTTCATCCTCTTTTATGGCTTTTTATTACATCTATGTTTCCTTCTAAGAATTTGATAGTTTTCGCTTTCAAATATAGATACTTGGTCAATTTTGAGTTTATCTTTGTATATGGTGTGAGAGAGGAGTCCCATTCATTCTTTTGCTTGTGGATATCTAGTTTTTCCAACAATATTTGTTTAAAAAGACTATTCTTTCTCCATTGAATAGTCTTAATACCCTTGATAAATATTAACTGACCTTAAATGATTTATCTATGAGGGAGTTTCAAAAAGTCTGTGGAAAAAGTCCATTATTTTTTTCATTCCATTTTTCCACGAATGTTTTGAAGTCCAGTTGTATACATCTATTCTTATTCAGGAACTATTTGCTGAATGCATATCTGAGAAGTCACAGTATCTAAAGAGAAACATGACATCAGAATTAACAAATAGTGATATGAAGGTGACACGGCCTTGCTTGCCAAAAATGAAGATGACTTGAAGCACTTACTGATGAAAGTCAAAGACTACAGTCTTCAGTATGGACTATACCTGAGTATGAAGAAAACCAAAATTCTCACACCTAGACTGATAAATAACATCATGATAAATGAAGAAGAAATTGAAGTGGTCAACAACTTCCTTCTAGTTGGATCAAAAATTAACATCCATGAAAACAGCAAGAAATCAACATCCATGAAATCGAATCACATACTGCATAGACAAAAATCTGCTGCAAAAGACTTTAACATTTTAAAAGGCAAAAATGTCACTTTGATGACTAAGGTGTGTCTGCCCCAAGGCATGTCCTTTTCAATTACCTCATATGCATGAGAAAGCTGGATAATGGAAAAGGAAGACAGAGGAAGAATTGGTGTGTTTGAGCTATGGTGTTGGTGAAGAACATTGAATATATCATGGACTGCCAAAAGAACAAATAAATCAGCCTATAAAGAAATGCCACCAGATTGTTCCTTAGCAGTGAGGATGGCAAGTTACTTACTTTGGACATGTCATCAGGAAAGAAGAGTGCTTAAAAAGGACATAATGTTTGATAAAGTAGAGGGTCAGCAAAAACTAGTTGTTGTGAGATGCCGTCAAGTTGGGTTCCAACTCATAGTAACCCCATGCACAACAGAACAAAACACTGCCCACTCCTGCGCCACCCTCAGAATTGCTACTACTATTGAACCCATTGCTGCTGCCACTGTGCCAATCCATCTTGTTAGGGATCTTCCTCTTTTTTGTTGACCCTCCACTTTGTTGTTGCTGTTATGTGTCGTAGCATCGGTTCTGACTCATAGTGACCCTATACAGGGTTTCCGAGGCTGTAAATCTTTACGGGAACAGAAAGCCTCATCTTTCTCCCGCGGAACAGCTGGTAGTTTCGAACTGCTGACCCTGAGGTTAGCAGCCCAATTCGTAACCACTATGCTACCAGGTCCGCCAATTTACCAAACATGATATCTTTCTCCAGGGACTGGTTCCTCCTGATGCCATGTCTGAAATATGAGAAACAAAGTCTTAGTATCTTGGTTTTCTAAGGAGCAGTCTGGCTGTACTTATTCCAACATAGATTTGCTTGTTCTTCTGGCAGTACATGGAACTTTTAATATTCTTTTCCAACACCATAATTCAAATGCTTCAATACTTATGTGGTTTTTCTTTATTCATGAAAGCTCAACTTTCGCATGCATATGTATATAAGGCACACCTTAGTTCTCAAATTGATAATGTTGTTATTTAATACTTAAAAAAGGTCTTTTGACTCAGAATTGTCTAATATACTAAGTTGTTTGTTTTCTTGATTACTGTTTCCAAGAGTGTTAATAGTGGATCCAAGCAAAATGAAGCTTTTGACAGCTTCAATCTTTTACCGATTTATAATGATGTTATTCACTGGTCCAGTTGTGAGGAATTTTGTCTTCTTTACATTGAGATGCCATCTATACTGAAGGCTATATTCTTTGATTTTCATCAGTAAGTATTTTAAGGCCTCTTCACTTCCATCAAGCACGGTTGTATCATCTGGGTATAGGTTGTTAATGAACCTTCCACCAATCTTGATGCCACGTTCTTCTTCATATAATCCATCTTCTTGGATTATTTGCTCAACATACAGATTGAATACATAAGATGCAACTCTGGTGCACAACTTTCCTGATTTTAAACCATTCAGTATCTCTTTGTTCTGTTCGAACAACTGCCTCTTGGTCTATGTTCAAGTTCCTCATGAGTCCAGTACAAGTGGGAATCCTTATCTTATTCAAAATAAGCATGATCTTAGTGAGAACACTTTCAGTCTTTCAATAGTATGTGTTATGTCAGCTATAGATTTTTCATGTTGTTGGTGTCAAGAGCCACTAAGATCATTTCAACTCATAATGACCCTGTATAGGGTTTCCAGAGAGCGGTTGGTGGATTTGAACTGCCAATCTGTGGTTACCAGTACAGTACTTATCCTATAGTGTCACACATGGGATACAGGTTTTTCATAGATGTCCATTATCAGACTGAGGAAGTTCTCTTTTGTCCCTAGTTTGTTAAGTGTTTTAAATTGAACAGGTGTTAGATTTTGTTAAATGCCTTTTCTGTATCTATTTAGATGGCTGTGTGGTTATGAGACATGTCTTGTGTAACAAAGTGCTTGGAGAAAGAAATAAGGAATGGCTTTTATTAAACAGAAACAAAACAAAATTCTTCCTTGGTGACACTGTGTTTTCATACAAAGGACAGTAGATTTTTAAATGTAATGACAGCAATAAGCAATAAGATGTATTTCCAAAATGCATCCACTTTCTTCTTATCCTCAAACACCTGTCTGAGATGGACAAAAATGATACTCTTAGCTCTCTGAGTGTGCTTCTTTTGACCTCATGCCTATAACTGTTACTTTAAGGTAAGTTCTGACTATTTAGAAGGCACTCAAACTTATTTTTTGGTTTGTCATTTTATTTTTGAAAGGTTTTTTGTTTTACTTCCATTTCAAAAGCAACCTATATTTTCTTCAGAATATATGCCAAATCAAAGAAATATAATCCTAAACACCACCACTCAGAAAAAAATCATCTTTTGCATTTTGCTATTTAACCAAAAATTTTATTTCCTGTGTTCATTTGTGTGTATGGGCTTGTATGTGTGGATAGAGTATGTAAATAGGATCATATTGTTCTTGTTTTGTAGTCTGATTTTTCTTTTTTTCCCAAATAATACAACTATCTTTTATGTCTTTAAATATTCCTCTAAACTATACTTAATGTACCATACAGTATTAATATGTAATAGTTTATTTAGCCATTCTCCTGCTGTTTGATTTTTAGGTTATTTCCTTTTTTTCTAAAATAAAGAACTCTGCAATAGATTTCTATAATTTTATAGGATCCCGATGTAAATAATTTTGTGTACATACTTGATTCTTTCCTAAGGTAAACTTTCCCTAAGGTAAATTGTTGCATCCAAAAATAAACTCATTCTTAAGTTTCGTGGTACAAAGTTAGCACTTCAAACTCACCAGCCACTCCTTGGGAACCCTATACAGGGTCACTATAAGTTGGGACCAACTGGATGGCACTTAACAACAACAATTACTATTAATTAGAAAATACAGATAAAATATGGGGAAAACTCATTTAAAAAATCACCTCAAGCCTCCCCAATCTGAGTGTTCTCAACTCGATGGCATTTAACAATAACAAAGTCAAAGATTACAAACATTTTTAGACTTTTGACACATACTGTCAAAATTACCTTCAAAACAGAACATGCCACTTGTGAACTGTCAAGTATTGGTGGTGGGGATGGTGGTGTGCTACTGCTTCAGTTCTACTCATAGTGACCTGTATGG